GTACTTAAAACAAAAATTCGACTTATAGAATGTACTTTCCCATATTCCTATTGGCACGTGACAATATTTCTATTCGAGTTATAGAGAAATTCGAATTATAGAAGTTCGAGTTATGGAAGTTTCACTGTACCTATAAGTAGTTTGATTACATTTTTAATATCCTTACCTATATAAGCTATAGCCAAAAATTTTACCAATTAATCCAATTTTTATTAGTGAAACGTATTTGTTCTAACATATAAACACACAATGTTTTGAACAAGATTGTATTTTATTCATTAATATTATAGAAAAATAAAACGGTTTTTCAACAAAAAAACATATTGCTAAATCGACGGTTTATATGTGACTTATATCTAAAGCGATAAACTTTATTTTTTACTTATTAAAACTTCAGGGCGATAGATCTAGCAGTTCAGTTTCTTATTCTTAGTTAACTTTAAAATTTTAATTTTAATTTTTATAATTTTTATAATAGTGTTAACTCACAAATAAATAAATAAATATTTTTTAAAGCTCATATTCTATTGTTCAGTTTACATATTAAGGATATAGTAGTTCTATAGTTCCATTTCGACCAATTTTAAATTTATACTTGAGGTCTTAAACGTGATAGTAAGTTCTTCATTCATAATAGCTTTGAATAGCAATATTTTACTTTATTTATTATTTTTTATTATATCATTTATTTGAAACTATATCTTTCCGATTAGTTATTGAACTCTTGTATGGAAATTTTAAATTATACCTACATATTATTTCTGAATATAATGGAATATAGTGCAGTATTATTAATATAAATAATCTTTTTTTAAATAACATGATAAGTGTAGCTAATTAAAGTGATTATTTTTTTTCAGATAAATATAATCAATACATTGCAGAAGAACTGAGGAATAATACATATGAATATAAAATTATTGCCACACATGGAAACTCATATCAGTCATATGCTGGTGTTTAATAATTGCAAAAATTAAAAAAATATAAGTTGCAATAAATACATAATGTTGATGGTTCCTAATTAGCGCAAATTATTAATAACTTCCTATTGATCGGTGAACATATTGCAGATGCATTATAAATAAATCAAGTGCTTTAATATTACAAATAATTATGAAAAAAATACCATAACAATTGATTCGGTTGCTAAAAAGGATATAAAAGTTTTATCCTTTTCCTAAAAAACTTTCAAAGTGTTTTGTGGATGTATTTTATTTGGAGAAGAGCCCTACAAAAACAATACGGAGGGCTTAAGGAGTGCTTTGGCCCGTTTGCGAAACAGAACGGGCCCCTCACTTCCACAACCGTCTCCACCAGCCTCACCACTTCCCTCCAACCTTGTTACCAGTCTAACAACTTGCGCATCCGCGACTTCAACGGTTAACAGCAATTTATCAGGGACAACAACAGCAATAACAAACTCCAGCGTATTAACGACTGTTGCTAGTGCCAATGGAACCGGTCATGCTGTAAGTATAAATCTGAAAAGAAAAAATGGAAAAAAAAATAGTTTTTAATTATTTGTGGCATTTAATAAATACTCCACTCTGAAATCGAACTCTTTCGATTTAATCACAAATCAATGAATTTTCCTTCTGAACTTATCTAACCTCTTTGTTCCTTCAATTCTTCCGCAACAAGTCTTAAATTAAATGAAGTTTTATTTTAAAATAAAAATTTCAAATCAAAATTTTAATTTGTATTAATTTGCTCAAAGCTAAATTAAAAACATTTTAATTTTTTGCAGTGTATTTTATTTACAAAAAATATAATACTTATTATGGAGAACTTTTCAGTTTGTAATATATACCAGTGTTGCTTGATAAGTCAGTAAAATTTAAAGGTAATGAATTTTTCTTATCGTTGAATAAATTTTTAATAAATTATATATATTGCTTATATTTTATATATATACTGTTACGGTATCCCAATTTGTTTTTGAAATATAGAATATTTGAAAACCTCACAAAATGTTCATTCGAATATCCGAATTTGATTGAAATTTCTTGGCGTTAGTCATTTCTCCAAATTTCGCAGCAAATAAAAATCAGATGAAGTTAAATCTTTTGAATAGGTGGATGTGTTAGCACCTGAGAAAGTAGTTTAAACAAATTAACTATTATAAATTCTGATCGATGAGTTGGTACATGGGTGTAATGCAATAATTTTTTTGTCTTTTGCAATTACGATATTAACTTAATTATTTTATTTTATACTTAATTATACTTAATTATTTTATATTAACTTAATTTTACTATTCAAGCGATCTAAAAGCATCGTAAAATATAGCCCTGTCATTATTTTATATCCTTCAGGGTTGTCATTCAGGATAACGTATTTAAAAAGACAGAAGCCATAACCATTTTAGCTATCTTTTATATTTTGACACATGTTTATCAGGAGTCTATGGAGTAGTCAAAATTTTTGGGTTATGCTAAAATATGTACAATCCTTGATTCAAAGTCATTATATATAGTAGGTACATTTAATATGCTTCGAATAAAGGCAGCATTCATATCGGTGACAACGTCTTTTTATATGTAAATACTCATACAAAATATTATGGACGTGTTTATTTGAGATTTTTACCACATCAGCAATCTAGCTCATATTAATTGAAGGATCTTCCAACATCATATTTTTAAATTCATCCACTATCTTAAATCATTCTGTATGAAACACGACTTGAGGTAATTATGTCCGCAATAGTTAGGATATTTTTTCATACTTTGGTTTATTCGGAAATATTTAACTTCTTATTCTTAATATATGTTATATCCACTCCCAATTTATTTTGCTGCTTGTGGGTATTAAGACTAGTATTTTGTTTTTATATATTAATATTAAATTAACTTAATTCGTACTAAGATAACTAACAAATACATTACATCAATTTTTGAAATCATGTAGCACAGGGCTTATTGATGTGTAATACTCGTATGCATTCGGTATCTTAGACTTTAAAATCTTTGCATTATTTGATATCAAATCATCTTTTTGTGGAAGCTATAAAAAATTTTTTATAATTTTTCAAAAGCTTTTAAATAAATTGCAATCTTTGTCACGCATAAAAAGGCTGCACTCCGCAGAGATTAAGTCAATTATTTGAACAACAAAAAGTAATATTTTTAGGTTTATTTTTTATTTCCTTCCAGAGACCTATAATAGGGGCATAATTTTTCCGTGCTTAAATTTTTGTTGCTTTAATTTGTACGCACAACAGTAGCTTTATAAATTCATTTTGTTCCTATTTATGTATACACAATATAATGCTTTCATGATAACGCAATTATTTTTTAAGTACTAAGTCTTATATTACTCTCCATTCGACTTATTTACTTCTGAAAATTCCACTTTTTTCATAAAAGACAATATTATTTTGTGTCCTTCAAAAATAAAATTGAATTATAATATAAAAAAATAAGTTGCCGAAGCTTTAGAAAGAATCCTCTCTTTCTCTTTGATTTTTGTACAATAATAACAATAATTATAATAATTTTTTAATGTTTTTAGATTTATTTAATTATACTATATATTGTATTTTAAATTTGTATATATTTCATTAATAAAAAAGGTCGATATTATATGTCGTCCTTTTTAAGCTGTGCAAAAAATTTTATAATCCATATAATCTATATGGAAGTAATTGCTAACAAGTTATGAGAAGTATATAGCGTATGATAATGTTATACGAAAATGATGTTTAATATAAAAGATCATATGGCTATAGCTTTTATGAAATTATAAGAAAACCATCAACTTATTACGGATTTAATTGATTTAATTAATTATTCCTATTGAATTAAGAGATCAAAATAATAGACGAGTGTTGATATACGGTTTATTTCGTTTTTATGATAAATCTTAGTTATATATATCTTTACTGATCTGATAAGAAGTTTTAATGTTTGTTTTGTTCAAATTATAATACAAGATATACTTTTTTTTCGATATATGGGTCATTCTTTTACAAATCGGATACCCTTTTAACCTCAACCTCTTCGATTTGGCTGACATTTATTTTATGAGCTCCTTTTTTAAAATAAGAAGAGCCGTATCTCGTAACGAACCTTTTTAAAAGTGATACCACGCGAAAATTTAAAAATTAAGATGACGCTAACCTAATTTATTTAATAAAAATTATTTTTGCGAAAAATAATGACCTAAAAAATTTTATTTTATATATATAAATAGAATTTAATGATAAATCCAATTCAGAAATAAAAGGAAAAAATTTTTGTGTCATTTTTTGTGGAAAATTGATTTAGTGGTGTTATGGTGCGTATGAGTGATGTGAAAGCCGCCTAATAAATTAAATTTTTTAAATACTTCTAAAACAATACCACATTGGAAATAGTTATTTTTTAAGTAGAAATTATTGGTTTATCTAAATCAAAAATGAAAAAAATTTTTTCTGATATGGGGACCATTTTTCGTGCTTATGTGTTTGGTGTAAGGTGAAGGATGAATTAATTTTTAAGATATACTTGTAAGGACAATACTATCCTAAAATTTTTGGGTTTTATGTAGAATCTTATTACAAATCGAAATCAAAAATAATATTTAAGAATTTTTGTAGCATATTTTTTTAAAATTCATTCATCAGAAATATAGTACGTAAGTGTTTTGCAGAAGAGTAGAATTTGAAATGTAACACCATTCTGAAAATTTTCTAAAATATAAAAAATGAGAATTCTTGCGATACATTTAGAAAAAATTATTTTTTGAAATTTTAAGGTGCAAAGTATTAAGTATGAGTATTTAAGTATTAGTACTTAAATATAAACAATCTTAATTGTTTAAACTATTTCTGAAAAGTACAATAAATTATCTTTGAAATTCAACGAATGTTAAGTTTCTATTATTTATAGAGCTTGAGATATGGTCGCT